AGTCGTGAGTCGTGAGTCGTGAGTCGCGAGTGGCGGTGATTGCCAAACCTCGAAACAGGATTGGCCACAGATGTGTGCAACGCGGCGAGTCTCGTGAATAGTCACGTGTCGCCGCGGGTTGCGCATTTCTTCGTAGAGTGCCGCGGCATGACTTTTTTGCCAGCAGATCCCCGCGCGGGGCATGCAGCACTGGACTCACGACTCCAAGAACACAGATCTAGATAGAGGCTGGCAACGGATCGCGAGCTGCTCGTTGTACATACGCTTCCTGGCACACGACATCCACTCCATCAACCAAGCCGAGATCATCAAGCGCGGAAAGCGGACCGCAAAGAGGAGAAGGTTCAGAGAATCGATGCGCCAGGCTGCCGCGCTTTGCCTAATTGGGAACAAGGCTGGGTCGATCTGCGGGGCCAAGGAGAGACAAGACAAGCACGACGGCCGGGGATGGACGATCTTTTGAAAGGCTTGCTCAATTTGGGCGTAGGGTTGCCCAGCACGGATCAAGTGGTAGAGCTGCTAGAGTCTGATATCAAGTCAACCCAGTCTCTTGCGCAGTTGCTGGCACTGACAACGTCAAGCGCGGAAAAGGATGACAACAACCACAACAACCCTTCGTCGGCCGTCGATCTGATGGGAGCAGAATTGCTTACCGATGCCGTCAACGCCATCCTCACAAACTTCAAAAGCTCCATCGATGGCGCAAAAGCTGCGTTTCAGGTGAGCGCAGCATTGTTCAGGCGTAATATCTGTGAGAGCATAGGTGCAATGTTGATTCTCTTTGCTCGTCAAATGACGGCAACGTAGAGAGAAGAAGCGCAGCTCGACAAACCTACCAAGGTCAAAGCGATACCCCGCAAAGCGCAGCTGTCCAAGCATGAAGCGGCACTAACCAGGATGAGGAACATGTCCGCTCTAGCAGGACACGATCGAACGCGTTTGGTGTTCGACGGTGGCAAGAGTCATTGTTCTTCGGGGAGACTCGCACAAATGAGGCGCATCGAAGTAGATGAGATGACGCTGGTTCCCAAAGCCTATCGAGGTGAGAAGCGCAAGCAAGCTCAGCGAAGCGGATTTCAACTCACCCCGCTTCGTCCATCAAAGATGCATACCTCGTAGTCAGGCTCATTGCCCAGCCCATCTCGTATCAAGGCGTTCAGCTGCTCGGGGAAGACCCAAAGGGCGATTTGATCTCCATAGCTATTTCGCACGTTTCTTGCACGCCTCTCACAGCACACGAGGCGTCGTGCAATTTTCCAACGGGAACCCTTTTGGCTGTCAAGGAGCCTTTTCTCTCTATGGATCATACAGTCAGAGCCGTCCCTTCCAAACCTGGCATCGGTGTACGCGTCGACTCGCCGACGGACATCATCTTCCTGTCAGGCGAGGATGAAGCGTTGCGAGACGTCCAATGGGCGACACCGCCCAGCAGCAAACCCGCGGTCGCACTCGATCACCGCATTTCCTGGCTCAGGGATCCACCTCTAGCCGCTTGGCTCGCTAATGGCGCACCCTCACCCGCCCCCTACTTTTCTTCCCAAGAAATACTGCACCTTCTCGAAACATTGTTGGTGTTTTCTCGGCCAGGGGCTGCATGGCGCGAGCTTTGCGGAGCTAGAAAAGCTGGATTGGTTGATGATCGAGCAAAGGACGCGATGGAGATTGAGGGAAGAATCAGATACCTGTGCGAAGACTTTCTAGGCGCCGCGGATGCCTTTGGCGAGTCTCGGCGAGGCGCGCTCAGCTCGCAAAGCGCTCTGAGAAAGCACAGCCCGCCTGCGGTGGATGAAGCTTCTTCGGAAAAGAGCCGGAGCCAGGCAGCGCGCCAAGCCTCTTTGCAGAAAGATCCACCGTCGTCTTCCGAAATCAGCTCTCTCTACTTTGCCGCTTCTTCAGGCGCGCGGAAGCTGGATGCACGGACGTACATCGGCCCGGTCGAGGTGCGGGATATCCCAGGCGCAGGTAGAGGTCTGATCCTCACGGAGGACGTGGAACCTGGAAGGATCATCTTGCTGTGCCGGGCTGTAGAACCTCAATACCCTTCCGCCACTCAGTGTGTCAGGGTCAATCTAGAGATGGGTCTGGTCAGTACGACGAGTCAGATCCGAGCCCAGACGGCCTTGATTCATGCTCTGGTTGGTGAGTGACAACTGTCGGCGAGGCGCGACTCTGCCCCGTCAAAAGCTGACGAGGTGCAGGAGCTTCTGCCCGTTGCCTTCCGACACGCAGACCGACCCGAACTGCAATTACCTGTGCTAGGACTTACAGCTGGACCCTCCGTTCCCTATTCTGAGTGGGTGCGACTTCCATACCCTCTTCATCTACCCCGCGCTCCTACCGTCGAGCAAGCCGAATCGTACGAACGTCCATCCATCGACGCCGCCTACGTTGACGGCGTACTTCGTTTCAATGCGTTTGGACCTAGTCCTCCTTCCGCTTGCACACGTTTCAGCAGCAATTTGTCGAGCACCTCAACGAGCTCATCTCAGCCTCGACGTCCGCTAGAAGATGGTCGGAGAACAATGCCACACCCACTACCTGCACTGCTCAACCACTCTTGCTACCCAAACGTCTCCACCACGTTTCACGGAGATGTCCTGCTTTCGCGTGCCTTGAGAAGGTTGAAAGCAGGGACAGAAGTGCTTCATCAGTACGTTCAAGGCGAACAAGCGCACGCGGTCCGAAAAGCTCAATTGAGCAAGCACGATTTTCAGTGTGCATGTTACCTGTGCAACCTGGACATGTCCGACACGCCGGAGAACAGATCTGAAAGGGCTAGGATTGTAGCGGGTGAACTGCCTGCTGTGCTCGAGAGGAGCCGCGTCGTGCTCAAGATGCGCCAAGAGCCATCGAAACCGGACGACCGGGAGATCGAAGCTCATCAGGATGTTGCAGAGGCGTTGGAGGGCTTCGCGAAGCGCATCGATGAGACCTATGCCGAACATAGAGGAGACGTCAGACCGGACCTGTTCGACGTCTTTCATTCTCGTGCGGCTCATTTGGCCATCTACGATCAGAGTGCAGCAATCCAGGTCAGTCACTACTCGCGAAATTCAAGGCACCACGTGAAGCTGGAGCTGACTCGTGGCACTCTCCTCGCACACGCGCGCATACATTCTGACCGCAGTGCGAGCTCTCAGCGCTCCGCAGCGTAGGAGCGATTGTCGCCGTAGAGACCGGGCCTAATTCGCAGCACGCCCTCTCGCAGCTCCCTGCTCTACACCTGGACCGCGCGCTGACTGCTATGCTGCACATCTCGAGGCTCTTTGCCCAGCTGACGCAGCCGACACAGTCCAAGAGCTGGGCACGCACAGCTGCGTGGGCCCACGAGTGCATCATTGGCGGTGGTCTTCGCGTGCTGCAAGATCGATTTGGAAGCTTGTGGAACGACGTCATTCGACTTTGCGATGGCGATGAAGAGGCGATCTCGACGTGAGGTGGGGAGCTACACGATCAGATTTGGAAAGCTTGAAGCTTCTTGCAACCAGATGCGGATTTGTTGAGGCCAGCGCTGAGGTGATCGGCCGGGCCTCATAGCTCTCCTCCACAACAAACGTGAGCTCAAGAGACGCCACGCTCTCCGGCGGCATGGCATTCTTCGTCAGCTAGGCAGCCAGCGATTCCGTTGAGATAGCGTCGAAACTGGCCGACTGACCATATGCATGCGCCCTCACGTCCATGCCCGATGAGCGGTCGGGCGCGTCAATCGGACAAGAAGCGCAGAAGGAATGTGTGCGGCGCGATGCATGCTATTGTGACAACGGAGCACCGCTGCGCACCGTTGCTCCAACGTACGAGCGCGATGCGAGGACGTCGAGGTGGCAAAGGGCTCTCGACCTCATTTTGCAAGACTCGTCGATGCGGGTGGTCGGTACTCGAACCACAAAAAGCATGCATCTTTCACACTTTGCTCTCGTGAAGACCCGCGCCCGTCGAAGGATGATTGAGCAGCCTGCGACGTCGCCGACGGAATCTGTGGAAGAAAATCCTAGATTTGTTCGTTGCCCGGACCCTCCGGACCACCTCCGGCTGTCTTTGTAGGGCCATCGACGTGCGCATCGACGCATGACCGTAGCGTAACTGTGATTGCATCGCTATCAGGCCCGGCGCTGGAAATCGCCTCGAACAGTCGTTCTGTCTTCTCCCCGGCCTCGAGAGGACTAGCAAAGATGGAATTGCGTGGGTGCGGCCAAAGTCCTCGACAAGCATGTCTATGGATCCCTTGCCCAGTCTTGAATGTGAGACGAGCTGATCACGTGTTGCCTGATAAAGGCACCTGGGTGGGCTCGATGCTGTCAGTCAATCCTCCCACATGCTGAACGTTCCGCTGCTCATCTCTGCGCACTGCTCGAGGAGGAGGAAGAGGCCCAGAGTGCTCCGTCTGTAGAAACGAGAAGCGGATTGCGAGCGAAATCCCTTCGGTCCGCGTGCGATGGCACTGCTGCTCGAGTGACATGTGCTCATCGGAAATCTCTGCGCATCAGCGACGCTAAAACACTTTCTCCGGCACGCCTAGCGCGAAAATGTGCCCTCTTGCGACACAAATAGCGTTTTCATTTTGCAACTGCCTCGCGCAAGACCTCCAAAGAGGCAACCAGTTCCAACGATAGTCCTGCGCATCCGAGGAGCTGCAGCAGCGCAGCGGCCAAGGATTGAAGTGGCTTGCAAAAGGGCAATTCAGTCTCAGCTGCCAGGCGCATGCGAGAGTGATCCGCGGATGTGAGCAAGTCGAGTTGGATGTACGTGCAAGTAGCAGATCAAGAATCACCTGCGAGTTGCCGCAGTCTTCGATGCCAAGTTGCATACCCATCGAGGTGCCCTTGCGATGACACTCGACATTGATCCAGTGTCAGCGTTTGGGGCGACGAGCAGAGGGCATCATACTTGGCACAAAAGGCTCACGTAATCCAGCACCCACACCCATTTCGTTGCCCGCGCTTGCCGGCAGCGGAAGTCTGCCTTTGCTCTTTCGGCTTGCCCGGTGTGTCTGAGAAAGCAGCGAGACAATGTTGCGGACTTGGACGTTGTTGCGGTCGCAGGCATCTCGCTCGTGCCAGCCGTGGCACACCTGACGCGCCACTCAAATCTGCCAAGACGAGCGCATGTGCAAAGATGTCTCGGAGCGCGGATTGCGCGCTCCGCGTCCGACGTCTTGCAGCTTGGAGCTTTAAATAGCAGCCGATGGAAGATCAGTTTACGTTCTTGGAGTACTTTCATACACACCTGTGGTGCAGTTGAGGGAGAAAGGAACCTTCTCTTGCGATGGCTTGCCCCTAGTGGTTCAACGTGACTTGCAGGCTATCGCAACTCTGCTCACCAGGTCGTGGCTGGGTGGATCTGACGCGCGCCAGCGCAGCCCCAAGTCCGTGGTGTGTCTTCTGCAGACGCTGCGAAATTCAACATCGCATCGATACGACGCTCGTCAGAGATTCTCATGCAGCCACACAATGCGCTTTCTGCTGGAATGTCCCGAGTGCGAGATCCTACGAGGATAGGCCCGCTTCGCACGTCTTGCTCGCGTCACAGGCATCTGGCAGGCAGCAAGCCAGCCAGCTATGCAGAGAAGCGCGCTTCCGTGGGGATCTGTGGACCGTTTCTTGCTCCTGCTTCATCGATGGAGACAGCCACGCGCCTTGGCGGAACGCTTGCTTCCCCATAGCACGTGTTCGTGGTCGTGATCTGGATGGAGTACGGGTTCAACATGACTCAAGACTCTTGACTCAAACTGAAGGCGGCCCATTCCTCGACTATCCGTGAAGCCAAGCAGTACAATCACGTGAATGCATATGTAGCAGCAGCGTTTCAAACCTGAATCAATTCCCTCGGCGGTTCCGCCGCGAGATTCAACCCATGCATATATGCTGGGTGAGTGCCTTGATGATAATCACATGTGCTCTATAACCGAGTCGTTTCTCCTCTTGTCCTTCCGGCGGAAGCATAAGTCTCGGAGGTTGCCTCTGCCCATCGCGAGGCGAAAGTGACAACTGTGACGCATCTCATCAGAGCATCCGCGACCGAGACGGCGCTGGCGTGACTCTCGAAGTGCTTCAAGATCGCATTTTGCCTCCCCAGTCACGAGTCGGGAATAATGAATCTGAATGTTGACGCGCGTACGTGCAGCGCGGAGGTCGTCTGACGCCCGGTCCCCGGAGTTCCGAAGGTGAATAACATTCTTGATTCAGAGCCAGATTTTCCGGACCGCAGGAAGAAGTGGCCACTGGTGCAAAGCACAAACATGGCTAGAATCATCAACAGCGTTCTCTCACTGACGACTGCAGGTGACTGAAGTAAGTGGCAGCAGAGAGAAAGAGCCTGGGCGGCATAGATCAAATTCCCTATCACGGTCGGTCAACAGAGTAGTGTCTCACCGAGAGAGGTTCCCTCGCGGAATAGCGGACATGGACGATCCGAGTGGCTTGCGCACAATCATGAATCTTCTTCTGCCCGCGATGACGACGAACTGCCTGCATAGGCGGCGCTCAGGAACCAGGAAATGGAGTCCGACTACCTCCCTCGCCAGACATCACAGAAATGTGTCCAGCTCTTCGTGGAGCCATGCGTGCTAATGGGCGCCATTGCGCCCGTCAGCCGTCTCCCACTACTTTTCTTCAGTCTCGGCTCGACGTGGCCGGACTCGGGCAGATGACCGGTCCACCTCGAGATTGCAATCAAGCCACACAAGATTCTGCTTGAGAGAGCATATGAGCATTCACGGGTAGAGAGATTCACGGCCAGATGACTGAAGTAGTGAAGGTTGCTGGCCGAAAGAGGTCAGCAATCAGCGAAGATGGTCAATGCGGGACCGGAGACACGCCGGGGAGATCCAAACGTCCACCTTTGCTCATGTGGCGCCGCGCATGATAGCTTTGTTGATTATTGATGTGATGCTACACGGCAAAAGGTGCGAGCTATCGCAAGAAAACGCGCATTGAATGCGATCACATGAGTATCTGAGAGCTTCTGTGTAGCCGCCTCACGCACAAGTGACCGCGTCGACCACGGAGAAGGTCTACACTTTTGTTGCGGGTGGGGGTGAATTTGGCCAACCGTTCTGCTTATTGTCTCCTCACGATCAGCTTCAGAGTCATCTGTGGAGACGTGCGCACGCCAAGCCAAGCTTCAAAGTCAGCTAGCTGGTCATCGCCCTTCCATTGCACTGCGACTCCTTGTGAGGATCTGCTCCTAGCAGAGCTGCGCTCCGATCTTCCAAAGCAGCTGCAGAAGGGTAAGCCAAGAGTCCCACTCGATATGGGCCTCGGTCATGAGTTTTGTGCGAGCATTGCACATTTAGGATCTTGACGAGTGCTACCTAATTACAGATGGCCATGCAGAGACAACACAGCAAGATTTACGTCATCCGCGATTGCAAATCAGCGGATGCTACGAATCGCAAAAAGACACGACTGAGACAACGGGTCCCAGCAGATTACCGATCATTTTGCGGTCCCGCGCAGGGTCTTGCTGCTCGTTCAGAACTTTGACCGAGGCCGCGCGCGCTGCACGAAAGCGCAGCTGTACACGCTCCCCATACACCGGGGCACTATACTGCAGTCCTTGCTCACGCTCGCCCAAGACGGCGGCGCACGCCCGATCTCAAGTCGTGAGTTGTGCGTCCTTCATGCATGGCTAGCTACACCACCTGCTGCCGCTGCTGGTGCTGGTGCGTGCTGCTTGCATGCATGCATGCCCGCCCCGCCCTACTTTGAAGCTTCGACACCCGAAGACGCGCGTTTTGCACTGCCCAAGCGCCTAGGCTCGCCAGACGAGCGAGCTTCGCGTGGTGTTCTGTAGACGGTCGCCTCTCTGTAGACGGTCGCCTCAAATCCGAGACCACTGAGTCAAGACACATATCTCGCACATCCTTTGCGCTCGCTTACCCGCCAGACTGCTATATCGATCGACCGAGTCGGACTCTAGCAGAAGCAGAAAACGGAGATCCTCTCAGAGACAGATCAGCACATCACAATCTAATCGCCATCTTGACTCACCACCATCATCCCCCCGTCGCTCTTCCACTTCTACTTTCCCGGCACGCGTCTCTTCACAGGTCTCCAGACAACTCGCTTCTCTGCATATCAAATCCCCGACAAATTCTCGTTGCAGCGCGCGGACATATCCAAATTCTACCTGATCAGCACGACCGATTGGGATTCACGCGATTACCCACACTCGATACGCAAGAATAAAGACCCACTCGCGAGGATCCTTCACGAGCGCTGCTTGCTAGCATTGCCTCAAAGTACGGCGGTGACCTGACACGGCCCGCCGCCGGCGGTAGAGAACTTTGTGCACACAAGCAGACGCGCGCGTCCTCAATCTGCATCGCGGGTGCCCGGACCAGCAGACGCGTTCGGTACTTTGCCCACTTCTGTCGGTGCACGCTGGTATTCTCTCAATCCCATCTCCACTCTGCACCACACGTTACCACGCGCCCCATTGTAGCCGTCGCGGCTCGCCCGAGAGCATCATCTCTGGGCCGCTTCCGGCTGGGGCTACATCGCTCGCTCTCTTTTCGACGCATTACCATTCGTCGAAGCAGCACGCACGCGCCCCATTCTGGACGGGCATAAGAATCTATACGTTGCAGTGAAGCGTTGCAACGACTCGTCCGGTACACTCGCGCGACACTCTACCCGCAAGAACACTCTCGCTGCGTGGTGGCTGACTGTTGGTATCGCCAGCAGAAGAGAGACGAGGATCGTGACGCGACTACTTGTGAGCTCTACTTTGATCGAACGCGGTCTCTGTGCTACCGTCGCTCTTCCAATCGAGGGTTCGCTCTGGTAGCCCAAGGCGAGATGGCGTACTACAATCAAGGACCAGGCAACGGTTACGGCTTTCAAGGGGATTCGAGCAGTTCATCAGGGCCACCGCCCTCGAGCCATCATGTCAACTCCGAGTCGCAGCATCACCATTACCCGTCACACCCTGCAGCAGGTCCGTCTATGCAGCAAAGCTATCGACTCTTCAGCAGTGCGGGAGCAGGACCAAGCGGCTCTGGCGTGGAACGTAGTGCGGCCGGCTACCCATGTCCCAATTGCGGCAAGGCTTTCGCAAGAGGTGAGTGTATGCGTGCTGGTCGCGCTCAGATGTCACCAAAATGGAGCAGTGGCTGGACGGCTAGCCTTGAGCCCACGAATACAGGAATCGGAGTGTTCTCGTCGCCTCTCTTCGACTCGAGCTAGCACGTCAGCTGACACGCCCGCACCCTTCTGGATTTAAGATGACTTGCTGCGTCGACATTTGGCCCGCGAAGCGCGCGCCATGGCTCAGCCTTCTTTTGACAGGCAAAAATCTTGTCAGTCTTGTGCTGCGAGCAAGGCAAGGTGTGACCTAGAGGTGCCTACATGCGGGCGGTGTCGGGCGAGGGGCAAACTTTGTGTGAGTCAGCAGTTCGATGACCTCAAGCGTGGTTTCTGTCAAGAGAGCGATCTCTTGGGCGATAGCTGACACCGGCACTCTCTTAACCAGGTCTACGGCGCGCGCTCAGGCAATCCCAACGTCAGGAGAGCGCAACGAGACTCGGCAATGCCGAGTGGCTGGCACCCTGGTCAGCAGGTAGCAGCTGCTTCGCCAAGCTGGCCAGGTGGCCCTGGCTCCGGTTCCATGTATGGAGTCAACCCGGCTAGTACACCATCACTTCCTCCCACGCCCGGGTTTGCGCCAGAAGGATCGGGTGATGATTACTCGTCCTCAGAAGATTCGCGAGGATGGTCGTCCTCCGACCAATACAATCAGTACCGCAATGCTCGCTCCTACTCCGTTGGAAATAGCGACTCCGAAAGCTTAGCGAGCGACTTTCATTCCCAGCATGGAAGCTTTTCCTACGGAGACGCTGCGCATCAGCAGCAACGGCCACCGGGAGGCGCGACGCTCGTCTCGAGCTTCGCGCCCTCGTTTGCGCCTCCTGCTCGCACAGATTCACCGGCTTCCTTTTCCCAAAGCGGCAGCACTGCCTCTCAACGCGGATTCGCTCGCGGAGGCCAAAGCGGCTCCATCGACACCAGTGTGAGGCCTTTCCAGGCGGATGAGGGTGAGGAAACACCAATAGCAGGAGGCACCGCCGCTGCTGGGATCACAGGCCTGCCAGCCGCGCCTCAGCATGCTAACACCATCCCTGGAGCTATGGGACCCCCAACCATTCCTCGCGGTGCTCGCAATGCCAGTGCGCCATTCAGCGGCGAATCGATACCACCAACCGGCTACTCAAACTTCGATAGTCTACAGGGCGCCGGTGCCACCGGCAGCAGACCTCAACCTCCAAGGCTGCTCACTGGTAGCCGTATGCCAGTGCCAGGCGCATCCACCCTTCCCGGCCTGCAGACGGCTTTTGGCAGTGGACGACCGCTGTTCAGTGCTCAATTGGACCTAAGCGGTTGGCTCGAGGAGCCCGTCGTGCCGTCGCCGCTGTATCGCATGGGGCCGAGCCTGTCAGCCCTCGGCGCAGCAGCCCACTCTTTCCTCCCACCGACCCCGACCTCGGACGCTTCAGCGAACGCTACACGCCAAGCTCTTGGTGGTGGTGGAGTCCGCGAGGCTGGTCTTCGGTCCATGTCGGACCCGACGGTCGAGAATGCGACAAACAGCTCTGCCGATGTTGGCATGGCTGGCGAAGATGCAGCGCAGCGCACAATAGGCCAAATATCCCCCGAAGAGCTCAGTGCTCGTCATTGGTGGCAGAAGCGCGACCTCGCAAGGGATGCCGACGTGAGAGGCCAAGTCGCAAGCGTATGTGCTGGGCACTTTACCCTTTATCCCGCTCTACTGGTGCTGCCGGATCCCACGTCACCGGTGCCTCCGCTGTTTCACAGGCCGTGGATGGCGCAGTCACGCTTGGCTACACCATCCACTCTGGCCATCGCTCGTGTCATCATCGCAGGCTACCACACCCGGTTACCCGCAAGCGAAGGCTTCGTCTGGGAGCAGCTGGTGACACAAGCTTGCAGGCTTACGAGCCAAGTGGACATCATCGCTGCCAATGGAGACGACAACGACGTATACGCTGCTACTGCCGCACTCTGGCTCTACGTGGTTCTCCTCTTGATGATGTCGGAGCCACCGCCAGGAGTCAAGGTGCCAGCAGACACTACTCCCAAATTCGACATCTCGAGTCAAACACCACATCAGGTACACGTGCAAGTCGTCGATGACGGTTTGGTAGCCTTATCCACGTTAGCGCGAACACTGTCTGCTGGGGTCAAAAGGCTGGAGGCCGAGCGCCAGGCATCTCGCGCCGAGTTCCTCGCGTGGGGCTTCGAAGAGACTCTGCGACGAATTCTGTTTGCGACGTACGCCCTGCTCGTCCTGCAACGCCTGAGAGAGAGCGATGCCAGCGTCCAGTCAAAATTGGCAGGTGCAGACTTGGTCTTGGACGTCAGTCTACCAGCCGGCGCGACCGAGTTCGAGGCCGGCGTGGAGCTGGAGTGGAGGGCGGCACAAGCAGCAATCGGTTCTGAACGCCTGACACTCAGAAAGATCCTTGCCGAAAGAGGAGCAGAAAGCCCGAGCGCGGTGTCTAAAGCCTACTTTGACCGACACGATGATTTCACAAACGCCGTCCTCACTGTAGCTTTCGCCTTGGACGACAAGCTGGACCCTAACGCTTGAGTATCCGCAGCAACCAAGTTCTCTTCAGGCCCTCGCCTGCACCCTTTCGATCATCGGTCGTCTTCCACCCACACCTCTATTGTTCTCACACACACGCACACTCTCCCTGAACTCTGTAAACAAATCACGGACGCTGCTCACTTTTCCAAACGCCAAGCTCCCGTCGCTCATTCATCGCTGCTTGGTCTCTTCTACCTCCTCTTGCCTTCCCGCTGTACCCAACGCACGTCGTACCTCGTAAGTTACCCTTCTCGCCAATGGCTACATTTGATATCCGTTGTTGATTGCGCGCAGCCGTCTGAACTGTGCAGTGTGCTGGTGCACAAGTAACCCGGGATGTGTGAATAGACTGGTTGGATAAAGAGAGAGAGAGAGAGAGTCCTTTGCCGTTTAAAGCTCCTCATGCACAAAGCCAAGCGTAGCGAAGCTTCGATCGGGTTCATGATTCGCCATGACATGACTTTTTAAAGATCATGCAATTGCCTGTGACGATTTGCACATCGCGATGTCTACGAGGCGCAATTCCGCTCTACTTGGTCTGGTGGATGCGCAGCTTCTTGTCGCTGTACGCGTAATTGGCGGCTGACGAGAAAGATGCGAAGAACAGCGCAAAGCAAAGAGACGAGTCAACGTTGAGAAGCTTGCCAATGTAAGTTTGCTCGCGCAAGAGCAATCTCTACCACTCACCGTAGCTCTTGGGAGGAATGCGAGGTGCATGAGGCTCTTGAACAAAGTAGGGCCAGTTTTGCTTCTCGCTATGCGTTTTGGTCCGGGCCGCGCGAAAGAGGCGAGGAGAAGAGGGGAGATGAGCGGACAAGTGAGTGCTGCCTCTGTCGGTCTGCAGGCGTGCACGTACCAGAAGTGAATGGCGTCGTCCTTCGACTTGAACTTGATGTATAGAGCTTGCATGTAGTCGGCGCTGGAGTGCATGATCAATTGAACATCAGCTTCACCGGCCCAATGTTCTCAGCCGTTGCGAGCCCAAGTCTCTCTTCCTCCCTCCTTCCATCGCGTACTCTTAGAGGCAACGAATGCCCATACCGAATTTCTGGCGCCCCGAATGAGCGGCTCTCGTACTCACGTACTAGCCCATCCCATCAAAGGGTTTTCCCATCTTCCAGATCCTTGCATGATATCAAAGTCCACTCTCCACACATTGGTGCCCGCTTTGCCAGACGAGTTTGCAGTCTTTGTAGGTTTGAAGATGCGGACCGCTCGTTGGCGAAGCTCGGCTGTTGGTGCGAGAGCGCGAGGAAGCGCAAGGGTGAGAGATGGACAAGTGAAGCGATATGTGTGCAGGATCAGACCAGTCAGTGGGCCGCCAGGTCCGACAAAGTATCAAAAGTCTCAAAGAAAGCGAGAAACTCACTTGGCGCATCGCTCACCACATCCGCAGCGACAGGTTCAGACTGACGGGCCCTCTGTTCGGCCGCAAGATCTCTGACCTGGTCCTTCTTGGCAGGTACGCTCGAGTTGGAGCTGGACTCTAGAAGAGGAGCAAAGGTGGAGAAAGAGGTCGGTGCGGTGCAGCTGCTCTGCGAGCTCAGAGCTCGAGAAGCTGTTGAAGCTCGAGTGAGGGCATGGCGAATGAGCGACATGGTATCTGCCTGGTGCTCCGGGATGCCGGAGGCAGTGTGACGGAGTTTGCGCTGCTTGAATCTGATCGATCGATCACAGCGCAACTGCGTGAACAGCGTTGAAAGATGAATGAAGCGATGGTGGCAGGTGAGAAAAGCCTTTGTTGTGTAACCTCGACTCACGATTTGTAACGACTTCCAGCGGACTGCATGCGCTCAAACGCGCGATCGTCGGTCCTGCACGCAGCGGAGGCGCTGCTCACCGCGCGCGGCAGGCTCCCAGCTGCTCGGCCAATCACATCTGACAGTCGCAGCACCGCGCAGTCGAGCCGCGCTCGACCACTCACACCAAAGGCATCGAGCGCCACACGTCAATGCTCAGCATATCCACACGTCAAGCCTTCTGATGTATCGTCTGCGAGCTCGGAGCATGCGAGATTCTGTTCATGGTGAAGGTGTCATCAGTAACCCAGGCCACAAGCATTCTCAGCACGACTTCGGATAGCCTGTATTTAGGCGGAATTGCGAAGAGACCCCAACGATGACTTCAGCCTCGTCATTTCCACATCATCCACTCTAGACTTGAACAAAGACCACGTCCAACGCGAAGCCCCTCGAGCGAATCTCGCTGGTCACATCAAGTGCGCCTCTTCCAGCTCTTCTTCGATGCGCGCTATTGATACCGAAGATTGATTTGCGCATGGCATGTGTCCCTCTCTGCTCGCGAGCCTATCTGTATATCATGCTTTTGTCTCCTTGTGCAGTTTTGAGAAGGTGGTTGAAGATGTGGTAGAGGAGCCAGAGAAGTGAGATGAGATGGACTGGCGCGGGGAGATTGGGGAGGTAGGGCGGTTTATCATCATACAGGTACAGAAGGAGGGGTGGGAGGAGGAATGGAAGGATCCAGTGGAACTTCTCCTCCTGCGCTTTCCAATGACAATCCCACACCAAATTTGGCCGCATTTTTCTAGCAGGGCGAAATGACCCGAGGATGAAGGAGTTCAGTATGTGCTTATTTGGATCTCGTCACGAGACGGGCTTTGCAAACTCACAAAGTGATCAACCTCGCCTGCAAATGTGAGTGCGAGCGTGGGTGCAAGCCTGGTCTCGAGCAGAGATGAGATTTTGCCTGTGCTATCGATCTGTGCGCGGTAGCTAAGAATACAGGGTGCGGGCGGTCAGCGACGAATGCAAAGGCGAAGAAACGACCGCGAAGCAGAAGGATCAGCGAAACTCCATCCTTCGCTAGCTTGGTAGGCCGCGTGTATGCGGGCTTTACCCCACATTCCTTCAGCACCGAGGCGCGATACTCACGTAGCCATCCTAAAGTCCCACTTTGCGCCAAGAGCAGCCTGAGCATCTCGCCTTCCTCCCGCTGTGACGAGCTGCAGATCAGCAGCGGCAGACACGTTCTCGGCCAGCTTGTGCCAGTAGGTAGCCTGAGCAATACCCTGACCCTGCAGCTGCAATGTGGCGATAGCGTCCTTCGAGTCGGAGATCCACTTGACCATATAACCAATCGCAGCTTCCTGCTGGTTGGCATCCGGTCGTTGCCAAATGGCCTCTACGCCCAGCGCAAAGTTTCTGGTCAGGGATTGCAAGTAATTCGCAATATAGATGCCCGTTCCGTCGATGGGCGAAGGATTGAGCGCCTTAATGTTGGCGCTGTGATCTCTTCCTTGATAGTCGTGCTCAAACTGCGCGAAGGATTGTCCTCCGGCAGGGGCCATCTGGCCCTGGAATTTGGAAATGTGGCCATCCGCCCAGCCAGTGTTTGCTCGGATCGTAACGCTACCAGCATCGTCCAATCCACCTTGCAAAAAGTACCTCTCGCTACCGTACACTGCTCCAAAGTTGTAAGAGGAAGGTGCTTGTTGGGCTCCCATTGAGAAGGCGTGCGTCACTTGAAAAATGGGGTTCATGGACAAAGCTTTCGTCAAGTCTGCCCTTGCACCATCAAAGATGAAGTTGTTGAGCAGTGTAGCTGCGAGCGACCGAGGGCAGACGTTGTCAATCACACGGCGCGAGCAGGCTGTGAGTGGAGATTTGCGCCGTGCCAAGCGACTCACACTTGACCTCCCTCTGAAGATGCTCGGCAGTTCCTGGGCTAGGCAAATCCAGCTCGTTCCTCTTCTCCTGCCAAGCGGTCATCACGCTGCCCACGGGCCCCAGTACGGGAGCCAAGAAGCTGAAGAATCCATCGCCATATCTATGCGCGGCATTGATTGGGAAAGCGGGCTTGTCTTCGTGCAAGTACGGAGAGGGACCTCCGGGTCCTATGTTGTCGCCTGCTGTGGGTGGAGGTGGAACCCCCGTGGGTTGAAAGGCCATGCTCGGGTGTTGATTATGTCCCAAAAGGGCTCTGCGCTCAAGGCGTTCTCGGTTCGCACCGGAGAGCAAAAGTCTGTCGAGTAAGAAAGTGAAGGCGGTGCGCAGATGGAGAAAGTTGGAAATGACGGTCGAGCTTGGGTGCGATCACCGTGGAGGGCTGGCATCCTTCCTTTGGTGTGGGTAGCAGCTACCTTACCGCCGCCGCAATTTGAATCGACGTCGCAAAACTTGACATCAGCGCGTGCGTGCGTGTCCGCGTCTGGAGCGTCGGTCCTGGTCGGTTGACGCGAGCCTAAGCAGGCGCTGCCAAATCTTTTCGTGCGGGAAAGAAAAGTTCGTCTTTGATCACGTGGGCCGCTTCCAGCCGCGACCACATGGCTGCATGTGCGCATCCACGAAGCGGCCCATGCTGAAGCAAGCCGGACGATGAGCGGGCCTTGCAGCGTACACACACCTCCACAATGTTCTCTAACCCCCAGACCCCCCCAAGCAGGAACACGTAAACTTCATTGAATCGAGGATCGAACCTAGCCAGCAAACGCAACTCTATTCCCTTGATATTGTCGGTATTCGCAGAAGCTAAAGAGGCCAGGCCAGGCCAGGCTCCAACCACAGGTTCCCCAAGTTGGTGAACCCCGAAGCTATGTTGCGCGCTACGAGCAGCCGATTGGCGCGAGCCACACCTCGAGTGGCAGCTCAACATTACAAGCCCTCGATCTCCTTTCCAGATCGAAAGGCTCCCAAGGGTGAGCCAAGCGCAGCATCACCGCACTGCCCCGTCTGCTTTCGCTCACGTGCTGCTGCGCCCCTTGCCTACTTCCAGATAAGCACGAGCCACACGCACACCCTGCAGCACCTACCGACATTTCCTCCAACTTTTCGCACTTTCAGGAGGTCTTCTCTTCTGGACCTCACTTCAACCCAGACAAGATCCAGAATGTTTCTAGTCTGGCTGAGAACCCCAAAGCTGAAGGCGAAGGAGTGGCTGGAAGCCAGGGCAAAGCCGCAAAGTTGGCAGAAGGAACGGTGGAAGATTTGCACAAGCTGCCAAAGAGGTTTTGGGACACACCTAGCTTGAGATGGAACGAGGACGAGTTAGAGGCCATCATGGTGAGTGGATGTATGGGCTCACGGTAGGCAGGGCAGTCCGTAGGCGCGAAAGCAGGGCGCTGCTCGCCCATGGGGACACTGGGCTTCTAAGCGGCCTAAACCAGAGAGCATGTCAGGCTCGCAAGTTCTCGCCGACTACGTTCCGTCCCTCTAGCTGACGCTGCTTGTTCTTGTCCTTTCGAAAGACTGGTGGCGCCTCCACCTCTTCGGCGCATTGATACAATGGGCGCTCCGATGCCGCAAATGTCACCATGTGCACGGCGATTGCAATCATCAATACATGCGCGCCTCGTAGAGCTGGATCGGGGAGGCATGCCAACCACGGAGCGGCTCGTGTCATGGATGCTCGGTGTTACTTGCAGCTCCTCGCTCGGACGAGAAGCTCTCTGCAAACCTCGAAGATGCTTGCTCTGTCAAGTATTGAGAACCCAGAGTTGGCAGCGCTCCCTTCTCAACATTCCAGATTGACAAAGAATCTGCACAGGCTGAGTGGTGGTCTGGAGCATTCTGGTACGAGTCTGCTATGTGTCCTCTGTCAGTAACATGTTTCGGAGACTCATGGCAATGTGTCACATCCACTGTGGGAATCGCATGTATCCCGTAACGCTGCAAGCAGAGTCTGGAGGCAGCTTTGGACGACGCCTGCCCCTACAAGTGCTCGATGCTGAGTGCTGTCGCTCGCGCTGCAGCCCTCCTGCTCGATGCTTGATTGACGTTGTTGGTTGCCCTGACTAGGCTCAAAGTTCGGCCTGATCAAGGCTTGGCGTGACGTGCGCTCCAACGCGCCAGGACCGAGGAATTTGTCTTACCGGAGCGGAGATCTTCTTCCCACCACAACAAGTGTTTACGTTGGAGTCCTGACCGTGCTTGAGGGCCGCCCCGCGTACTAGCTGCTTCGCCGGTAGCACAAAGCTGACATGACAGCTCGACTGCTAGCCAAACAAACGTGCTGGCATGCGGCCAAGGCCGTGACTCGTGATCAGCAGCCATGTAATGTATACTGTAGCAGCTTGCTGCCTGCATTCGCGGAGGCTGATGCGTCAAGCTGCATCGGCCCTTGCGCGCTCCGCGTCCGCTGCCGTATGCTGTGCCCACATCTCCCAGCCCTCGGCCAAGGCCAAGCCGGCAGCAGGTCAGACGTTCAGAAGATTTGGGACAGTCAAACGTGGTGTACATGCGTATCAAGCTTATAATGAGCGTGTCGCGAATCCAGTGTGAGTGAGCGCTTGGAGCGTTGAGCAAGTTCGCGCTCTAAGGGGCGCTGCCGGAGCTTCAGAACACAAAGCAGC